GTCCACGACAGAAGACAAGACAATGTTTCAGATCAAAATCCTTCATTCTGAGAATGACAGTACTCAATCCCTCTGCACCATACTGCGTGTCCCTGGAAATTATGTGTTGAAGGCTCTGTAGTGGGACTTGAAGCCTTCGGACTTAGAGGCAAAGGTGCTACCCACTATGCCACAAGTTAGAAGACAAGGAGGGTTTTGGTTTTACCACAGGTCATTTGGTAGACTTGAGTGCACGACTACAGGTTTCCAAACATAGCCCAACACTAACACTTGTGAATCTAGCTGCACATTTTGGATTATACAGTTTGTCGTGAATATGTTCATCCATCAATCTTAACAAACTGGGACTCCAAGTCAGTACTTCCCAAAGTGGGGGTCAGAGCCCCAGATATTACCTCCGCCCTAATCTAATGAAAGATGTTCCCACTTTCACGGGCAGTCCACCATATCCCCCCCCACCCACCCACACACACACACACTGAGGAGTGACAGGAAGCTTGAAAAGGGGTCACAGTCGGGTAATAAAAACAGAAGTAGCTGGAGAAACTCAGCAGATCTGGCAACATCTGTGGAGAGAAAGCAGAGTTAACGTTTTGGGTCGAGTGACCCTTCCTTGGAACAGTGGGGAAATGTTTTGGCCCTAACAACTGTGTGCTCAATGGTACTTGCTGTGCAAAGCCAGGCCCTGTTCTCCATTGGATGTGACTGTTCTCATGGGTCCCTGCGATAACAATGATGGTTTATTAATCTGCAACACAAGTAAACATGAAGCAGAGTCAGCCATCCCCTAGATTGGAGAACCAATTATTCACTGTTGGTGTACAGCATTTTGTCAGAATGCATTTGGCACCCCTCTGACAGTAGACAGAAACATATCTTCCCTCTTGCGCTTGGAAATGTTGCTATATCTGCAGGTTTTCTTTTTAATTCATTCACAAGATGTGGGTGTCACCAGCCAGGCCAGCATTTATCCAGGTAATTATGGCATTAGTGAACCAGATGGGTTGTTACATCAATTGGCAATGGTTACATATCACCGTTTTATTTCAGATTCTGTTGAGTTTAAATTTCACCATCTGCTATGATGGGATTTGAACCAGGGCCCCAGAACATTAGCCTGGGGTTCTGGATTACTAGTCCAGTGACATTTACCACGATGCCACTGCCTCCCCATATGTTTCCAATAAATTTGCATTTATTTTTTAATTCATATCGTACTGAGCTCCATCTATTGTACATTGAGGAATAAAGTGTTGCGGGGATGTGGGAGATTTAATTTGGGGGTGTGTAGGCTTTTGGGACCTACAGTGTACATGGGACCTGGGGTACAGAGGGGAAGCATTAATCCAAATTTTCACTGACGCACAGGTATCTGAAATGGCTACCATTAGCTGATCTTAGTTTCCTCATCTGGGGATGATCTAACGAGTGAGATTGTGATGCTAGGAAGAGCCTTTCCCAAACATTCAGACCACCAAATTTCAAACCAGACAGACCAAAGGCAGAAGTGCAGAGTTCCTGAGGCTTCAAGGCCAGAAGGCTATGTCACTGTGAGGCCATGTGTGACACACTGCATGAATGTGAACATCCCAGGTTGTCAATAAGAGGAAGGCCTAGTTGGGAAATTTGGTTACACCTGCTTGGATCTTGGTTCCTCAGTGGACCTGTTAAAAGGCCAGTAGCACATGACGAGCAGAAAGAGGGATGGTGGTGGTTGGTTAAAGGTGTCTGTTTCCGCGATGCTGTGACAGAACACTATTCAACAGCAGAAAAGCCACTAATCAGAAAGATGTGGGTTTTATTGAATAGACCGTCAGAGCTATTAGTGAGTGGAAACCATTTTCTGATATTGAATGGAGAGCAAATCCAGTCTGGGATAACTTCAGGACAATGAAGCTGGATCTCTTCATTGATTCACCTGGAGCTTTCTTGGTTTTTGTCGGTTCCACATTTTCTGTTTTAAATTGAGATCAATAAATGAGGAGCAAAAGGAAAAGCAAAGAAAGTTCTTCCTTAAACAACTGCATTCCAATGGAAGCCAATCGTGGATATCCCCTGTGAGAGAGGTAGAGGTAGTGGGAGTGTCACTGGATTAGAGGCCCAGGCTAATGGGGCATGAGCTCTAATCGACCCTAACGATTGACAGGCGGAACTTAAGTACAATTCAGTGATAGTGATTATTAAACTGTCATCGATTGTTGTAAAAACCCATCTGTTTACCAACCCGTCCTTTAGGGAAGGAAATCTGTCATCCTTACTGGTCTGGCCTACATGTGATCCCACACCCACAGCAATACGGCTGAATGTTAACTCCCCTGTATTTGGGGATGGTCAGCAAATGTTGGCCTAGCCAGTGATGCCCACATCCTGTAACCGAAAAGAAAGAATTCTTGAGGGGAAGAGGCGGACCGTTATTGATAACGAACTGAACACTTTGTTAACTCGCCCAATGGAAGGGAAATTCAGAGCCCGATGTTAAGTCAGGCGATTTCACAGATTCTGTTATTCAAGATTGTATCTAGTTTTAGTCACTGACTAGGTGTGGGTCGTGTTAATATGGTGTGGACCCCAGAGAAATTACATCTGCTGTTTCCGGATCCTGGGACAAAGAAGTGTCACAGCTGCCTGTAATGCAATCCAATAGAAGCCAGTACCCATTTTCCAGATGTTACCTGGATCTCCTGTTTGGTCTGTGGAAACATTTATGTCTCCTTAGCCATCATCATTATCACTAACAACAACACAATAAGGCAAGTGATATCATTGTGATAAAGTCATTGGACTAATAACCCAGAACCTGAGGCTAATGCTTTGGCAACATGGGTTCAAATCCCATCATGGCAGAAGGTGAAAATGAATTCAATTTTTTTAAAATCTGGAATTAAAAGCTGGGCTAATGGCTTTATCAACTGTCATAAAAGCCCATCTGCTTCTCTAATGTCTTTACCAGGTCTAGCCTACATGTCACTCCAGACCCACAACTATGTGGTTGATTCTTAACTGCCCTCTGAAATGGCCATAGCTAGCCATTCAGATCAAGGGACCAATTAGGGATGGGTAATAAATGCTGGCCCAACTAGTGATGCTGAATGAATATAAAACAAAGCCTGTGGATATTCCCTTACCTGTTTGGAATGAGGTGGCTGAGGGATGCATTACATGCAAATGCTGTAGCCCCAATCTTCCAATGCGTGCTCAATTCAGGAACCGTCCCTTTTAGATTGGGAAGTTGTAAATGTCACTTCATCGTTGAAGGAGAAGTGAGGGAGAGAAATCGAGAGAAATGAAGGGTCAGGGATTTGGTGGCAACATATTGACCTGGTTATGAGCCGTTGGAAGATGGAGATTGTGGATAAGGAATGTGTGCTTGAATTGAAAGGAAATGGTACCCATAAGAATCTGTGTGGGGGCCTTTAATAATTCCCTGTATTTACTATAGGCTTGATTAAAACATATATCCAAGGGCCAGCCATCCATCCAAACCTGCTGATAAACAGAGGGAAGCTGTGTGATAAATAGTATGATTAGAAACATTATGATGAAAAATTGCTAGATTAAGTGAGTGGACAAAACTATGGCAGATGGATATCGATGCAGTGAGTTCATCCGAAGTAAAGGATAGATGTGGCTTTTTGACAATTAAGTAACTAACAGGCAGTGGAAGGCTAAAGGGGTTTCAAAATCCATGTAAACAGATCACTTAGAAGTCAGATACCAAACAAAATTACAAAAGCAAGTGGCCTGCTAGCCTTTGCACCTGTAGATTAGAATCGCAAAGAAGTTTTCTTCTGTCTGTACAAAACCATGTTTAGACCACATCTGAAATATTGTATATTGGCCTTGGAAAGAGTACAGTGCAGATTCAGCAGAATACTACCAGAGCTCGGAGAGTGAGTTTGTCAAGAGAGACTCACAGAATCAGGGCTTTTATTCTGTGGAATGTAGGGGGTTTTGTTTTAGGGATGACTTGATTGACACTTTCAGGACTCTGAAACTATCAGGTAGATAAAGAAAGATGTATTCGCCCTGGTGGGGTGGAATAGGTGGGTGGGGAGAGTCCAGAACAAGAGGTATAACCTGAAAATTAGACCTTCTCGGGGTAATGTCGTGCAATGTGTTATTCATCGTGTCAGGTCAGGGTCCATTGATAATCTGGGAACAGGCCGATAGATTTTCTTTTGTGAGCTGACAGTCGGAGAAGTCTTGTCGGCATTGGTGCAGAAGCTTTTGGGCTCAGGGAGCGACAGCTTCCATCTTTGCTGAATTTGACTGCTGAGGGTACGGAAAATCCATTCCCTCGAACGAGGGAGCCAAGAGCAAGGAGACAGAGTTGGAGCTGAAGGCCGGACAGACAATCAGTGTGATCACTGCTGCTTTTGAGGGCTTGCACTGTAAAAATTGGTCACCAGGTTTGCTCTATCATGAAGTAATTCCTTGATTGTCAAATCTTGAAAAACTAACATCAGGCCCACACTGCGTTCCCCGTCACCACTCCTCTCTGGTGGGGGAGCCCAGACAGACAGATGGAGCTGGATAAAGTGGACCTGGGTTCAAATCCAGCCTCCGGTGATGTGGAGTCTGCACGTTCTCCCTGTACCTGCATGTGTTTCCTCCCACAGTCCAAAGATGTACAGGTTAGGTGGATTGGTGGTACGGTGGTTCAGTGGTTAGCGCTGCTGCCTTGCAGCGCCAGTTGACCTTGGGGCAACTGTCCATGTGGAGTTTGCACATTCTCCCCATGTCTGTGTGGGTTTCCTCCAGGTGCTCCAGTTTCCTCCCACCGTCCAAAGATGTGCAGGTCAGGTGGGTTGGCCGTGCTAAACTGCCTGTAGCGTCCAGGGATTTTCAAGCGAGGTGTTAGCCATGGATAACGTGGGATTTTGGGGACAGGGTGGGATGCTCCTCCGAGGGTCTTTGCGGACTCGATGGGCCTAATGGCCTCTTTCCGCACAATGGGGATCCTACATTTCTGTGATTGTACTCTCTGGTGCCTTTTCCAGAACTGGCGGTGGCACCGTGCATGCAGCGGCCCGTAGACCTGGTCTTCATGGTTGATGGCTCCGAGAGGATGGGCAGCACCAACTTCCGGCATGTGCAGGAGTTCATCCAGAAGGTGGCCACAACCCTGCCCCTGTCCAAGAGCAGCAGTGATGCCATGCGGGCCCGCATTGCCGTGCTGCAGTACGGCAGCGAGGACGAACAGCAGCTAGTCTTTGGGCTGAGCCACAACCTCACCACCATCCTCGACTCGCTGGCCGGCATGACCTACCTGGACTCCTCCTCCAACGTGGGCTCCGCCATCATCTACGGCATCCGCAATCTGGTCCAGAGGCCGGGATCCACGCCCCAGGCGGCGCGCCGGGGGGCTGAGCTCTCCTTCGTCTTCATCACCGACGGCACCAGTGGCAGCAAGAGCCTTGGCGAGGCGGTGGACTCCATGCGCAAGCATGACGTCGTGCCCACAGTCATCGCTGTGGGGCCCGAGGTGGACATGGATGTCCTCCTGCAGATAGGCTTAGGCGAGAGGGCGGCCATCTATCGAGCTGCAGACTATTCCCAGATCCTGCAGCCCAGCTTCTTCGACAGATTGTACAAGTGGATCTGTTAAAGACTTCAAAGCCAACTTCCTTCTACCCCCTCCCCCCCAACCCTGAGAAAATCATGTAAAATCCACCCTTTCCTGTTTTGTTTTAGTTTTATGTTATTCAGGAAAAGGTAAACCAAGGTGCTTTGTTTTTTGTAATATATATATCGAATTATTTTTTATCATCGTTCTTTCTATTTTCCCCATTTTTGTGTGTGTGCGTATGTATGTGTGTGTGCATTTTGAGCTTATTAGGCCTTAAGAGGAAACCTCTGCTCCGGTTGCCAACTCTGGTCCTTTGTCAGACTGACCCGCTGATCCCCTGCCCAACTTAGCCAACAGGCTGATCGATATATCTTTCATCACGCTGCCTGATGGACTCATACTTGATTAAAACCGGACAAGATTGTGGCTGATCTGATGCTGCTCAGCCCCACTTTCCTGCACTTCCCCCAGAGCCCTCGATTCCCTCACTTGAATGATGCAAGTATACACTGGGATAGTGGCAGTGTAGAGGTCAGTGGAAGGCAAGAATTCCAGGAGCGTGTTCAGGGAAATTTTCTACAGCATTGTGTTTCCAGTCCACAGTAAAAAAGGACCCTCTTCCTGGAGTGAGGAATATGTTTCCAGTTTTGTTTTGTCCCGTGTCGATGGATTTTAAACATCTAGAGTTCTTGGCGACTCCATCAATAATCCCCTAGAGAGTTGGCAACCCTCCAGCTAGCCAGACAGACATTTCCCTTTGCTCGGACAGCCAACGCTGTTTTGGCTGTTTATTTTCTTTTCCTGTTTCGTAAATGTTTCGAAGTGTGCACCAGTCAGATTTTTTACCCCACAGAGCTTGAATTGTCCTACAGGGTCTGAGAGGTGTCACTGTCACTTGCACCCTCCCTCCCTCCCAAGGAGAGAAAGGATTTGCTTGTGAATAGCTGAATGCTGTGCATACCATAGAGGCCTCAGCAGCGTGATCTGGGATCTACCAGATCGGCCCAGCCTGACTGGAGTCCTCAGCACTGAGTGCTGTAAACAGTGTTGACCGAACAGCGATAACCAGAAGCCCGTCAAAACGTAACATTTGCTCCCTGTAAATGGCTGCATTGCGTTGCGTGCAGACACCAATTTGGTTTACCACCTGGGTACACGGTGAACGTGAGACATTGCACTGCATTAGGCTGTTAGGGAAGAGCGACAAATTCTGGCTGAACCTAACCAAGCCAACAATGTGGACAAAATTTTCCCAGCTGACATTTAACCCCGTGAAGCCCCTCTGCTGTGGGTTATGGTTGGTGCTGGCTGCTGTTTTAATAAAGCTGGTCACTTCACGTGCAATCATGTACGGTTTATTTATGATTTGCAATGTCTTTGTGGTAGAGAACTGTATCAGGTTTTACCACATTTCACCGACGATGGGGCTCTGAGATTGAATAGCGCATGTAGTCAGTTATTGGGGTGGGAGTTGTCTGAGTGAAACGAGGAAGAGAGTGAGATGGCAACAGCTGAACTTGATCTGAATCTCCAAGGCCATGTTTTCAAAGGCATGGCAAGTGTGGGAAGTCCAAGTAAAGTCCACTTTCCTTTGCTGCGGGGCATTTTGTTTGGTGAGGGGTGGTGGGTGTGGGTAGGGCGTCTTTGACAGGGGCCTCTTCTTGCCAGCAAGGTGGTGCAATTACAGTGGGTAGCGAGAAGTTGGAATCCACCCGAAGCTTAAACCCTTTCAAAAATTAGAGAAAAAAAAAACAAATTGCAAACAAATATCTCCCTTGCCAAAGAAGGAAAACCAACTTGTCCCTGTTTTGAGATCTCCAGGGCGTGCCGGAACGGAAAAGGCACGACAAGCCAGTCACCATCTGAAAGAGATGTGCGGAGTCCCGGCTACGACTAGCCCCAGATCCGCGGCGGTCATTCCCACTAAAGAGTTTGTGCCTAAATTGATGTCCATCTCAGATGCCAGCAGACCTTCTGTGGGGGACTTGCTGGCGTCTTTTGTCATCTTGTCTTTCTTGTAGCATTCACCAGTTCAGTCTGTGTGCCCAGTGACTTTGTGTTCACCTCTCCCTGCCACCTGGTATTAACCGAGGATAAATCAGGCCCCACACCGGCACCTCAGCGCACTCCCTCAGAATGAGACTCACCCAGAGGGTGAAACCAGTTTTAAAAAAAAGAACTTGCAAGTTAATACACTGCTCCTCTCTCTTGGAAGATAATGGACGAGGCCAGTCCATTCACCACTTTTTAATGTTTTTACCTTTCGGACATCTTCGGTGGCCCAAGACACCAAGGCTGTGTTCCTGTTGTAACTGCGTATTGCAAACCACAAAGCTTTGTAATATATATTTCTAATGAACATTGCAATAAAGTAGTCTACGTTGTTTGTAACAAAAATGTCTTTTTCATGCGGCTCGCTGCGTCCAAATTTGACTTGTCTGTACTGAATACAAGATCAATAAATGGATTTTCGAAAAAAAATTCCCTACGACTTTTGATCTCCTTTTGCAGCTCACTTCCTGGAGTGTTGCTGGATGCTTGTTCAGCATCATAGAATGTTATAATGCAGAAGGAGACCATTCTATCAACCTGCACTTTACCAGCATCATTACCCAGTGCCAATCTCCTGCTTTATCCCCACAACCTTGCACACTCTGTCCAACCAAATAATCTTCCAATGCCCTCAACTGAATCTGCCTCCACCACATTTCCAGGCAGTGTACCTAACCATTGTTACATTGCACATCACTTTAAATCTATGCCCCCTCATTCTTTTTTTCTCCTTTATGAGTGGGAACACTACTTCCTATCTACTCTACCCAGCCCACTCATGATTGTGAAAATCTAACAAATCTTCTCTCAGCCGCCTTTTGTCCAAGGACGAACATCCCAACTTCTTCAATCTATCCTCATCACTGACGTTGCTCATGCCTGAAACCATTCGTGTAAACTGCTTCTGCCCTCTCCAATGCATTCACATTTTCTCTATAAAGTAGTGCCCACAACTGTACACAATACTCAATACTCCATCTGAGGACTAACCAGTGTTTTATACATGCTGAATATGACGTCCTTGCTCTTGTACTCTGTGCCCCCTTTAATAAAACTGAGGTTTCTTAACTGCTGTCTCCACCTGTCCTACCACCTACAGTTATCTGTGTACATTTACACAAGGCCCCCCTGTTCCTGCACTCCCTTTAGAGTGTGCAATTTTATTTTATATTATTATTCTGTTAGCGTCTCAGGATTGTTCTAGCAGTGTTGTCTCCAGGATATCTGCCTGTGCCATACTGATGTCCCAGTGTGCATGCAACTTCATCTCGAGCTGTTCATTTGCTGTTACCTCTATTTATTTAGCTTTTCAGTCAAGTTTCCCTGCTGTGCCAGAGGGTCATGCTCCACTTACTGTGTAATTGCAACCTGTAGCTTCCCAACTGGCTTCTGCAGTTGTACGTCCCGTTGCTCACTCTCTCTCACATGCACCTTTGATGACCCCATCCTTGTGGAGACCCTTTCTCCAACTTGCTGCTTCCAGTCGCCCAAGGGGTTGCAGACTTTAAACAGAGGCAACACTCCTGAGTCTCAAACTCCTCCAGGAAAGTTTGCCTGGTACCAGTTGGCTGAGCAAGACTCGCTGAAAGGAGCTGTGTTCCTGTACAGAAGCCTCTTCCCCCTCACCATCAACCTCCAAACAGCGAGCGTAAGGAGCAGCAGTCACAAGTGAAACACCAGGAAGACTGAAGCCATGCTCTTCGGCTCCCCAGTTCCCCTCACCACCAACTCTGTTCCCTTACCACAGACTCCCTCCCGCCCACTTTTCAAATCATTCACACAATGTGGGCACCACTGGCTGGACCAGCATTTATTGCCTACCCCTAATTGCCCAGTGGGTAGTTGAGAGTAAACCACGTTGCTGTGTGTCTGGAGTCACACGTAGGCCAGACCAGGTAAGGGCAGTTTCCTTCCCTAAAGGACATTACTGAACCAGATGGGTTTTTCCAACGATTGACAATGGTTTCATGATCATCGTTAGACTCTGAATACTAGATCTTTTTGTAATCAAATTCAAATTCCACCTTCTGCCGTGGCAGGATTTGAACCAAGAGTTGAAATTTTCTTCCAATGACCAACACATTCCTCCTCTGTATAAACTACACTCTCTTTCAAACACTGAAATTGTGCTTGCAGTTCCAAGCCATTGATATACATGGTTAATAATCATGGTTCCATCATTGATCCTTGTGAATTAGATTATGACCAGGTTAGGAGGGGTGATCAACTCCTCTCATTTTGAACCCTATCTCAGTCACTCGCTCTGTAAATGTTCATTATCTTTTAGCACGCAGCTATCACATTTCAGTTGAATCATGTTTAACTCGAGCAGAATGAAGGGAAATTAATTAGAAAATTTTCTGGAGTAAAAGGAAGAAGGATTTTATTACCCAGAAGGAAATAATATAACAGAACTTCATACACAGATGATAAGCCTACAAAGAAGAAGGGGTTTCAGGCTGACTGCACAAATAGGAAGCTACAGGCAATTGCAGTTGAAGATATTTGCAGCCCTTGAGTTCAGGAGTGGATCAAACTATTCCACTATTAGAGTCAGAATTGTTGAGCCCAGAAACAGGCCCTTTGGTCTAACTCGTCCATGCCAACCAGATGTCCTAATTTGTCCCATTTGTTGATATGGATTTGATGGGCTGAATGGCCTGCTTCCACACTATAGGGGTTCTATGTTCTATGTTCCATTTTCCAGCATTTGGTCCATTTCCCTCTAAACCCTTCCTATTCATGCACCCATCCAAATGCCTTTTAAATGTTGTAATTGTACCAGCCTCCACCACTTCCTCTAGCAGCTTATTCCGTACACGTGCCACCCTCTGCAGAAAAAACCTGCCCCTTAGGTCCCTTTTAAATCTTTCCCCCTCACCTTAAACCTATACCTTCTAGTTTTGGACTTCCCCACCCCCAGGAAAAGACCTTGGCTATTCACCCTATCCATGCCCCTCAGGAATTTATAAACTTCTTTAAAGTCACCCCTCAGCGTCCCATGCTCCAGGGAAAATATTCAGGCTCTCCCTGTAGCTCAAACCTTCCAAACCCTGGCAACATCCTTGTAACTCTTTTCTGAACCATTGTCTTTTTCTTCTGTAAAGGTGAACTTTCTGATATCTGGAGCTCTCATTGAATTTTTGTTGCTGTTCCACTCTCTTTTCATTGGTTAGTTTCTTGATGCCTCACTGAGTTTCAGTGCCTGTTAATTAAAATGATAATTCTGATGCAGCCAGTGCTCCTCCGTGTTCAACAACACTTGGAGGAGGCGCAGAGCATGGAAAGGATGCAGGATGTATTCTGGGTGGCAGAATTCAATGTCCATCACCAAGAATTGATCAGCAGCAGCACGACTGACAGAGATGGTCAAGTCCTCAAGGACATAGCTGCTAGACTGGTCCTGCAGGAGGTGGTGGGAGAACAAACAAGAGGGAGAAACATACGTGACCTCCTTATCAATCTGCCAGCTGCAAATGCATCAGTCTATGACAGTATGGTAAGAATGATCACTGTACAGTCCTCGTGGAGACAAAGTCTTGACATTGAGAAAACCCTCTATCATGTTGGGTGGCACTGTCACTGTGCTAAATGACTTTGAAGGGATACAACAACTCAAACCTGGGCATCGTGAGATGCTGCGGGCCATCAACAGTAGTAGAATTGGACTCCAGCACAATCTGCGACCTCGTGTCCTGATATCTTCCTCATTCAACCATTACTATCAAGCCAGAGGGTTGAGCCTGGCTCAATGGAGAGTGCAGAAGAGTATGCCAGAAGCAGCACAATCCTAAAAATGAGGTGTCAACCTTGTGAAGCCATCAAACAGCGCAACCTGCATGTGATAGACAGATCTAAGTGATCCCACAACCAACAGATCAATCTAAGCTCTGCAGTCCTGCCACATCCAGTCATGAATGGTGGTGGACAATTAAACACATACTACAGGCAGAGACTCCACAAATATTCCCACCCTCAGTGATGGGGAGCCCAACACATCAGTGCAAAAGGTAAGGCTGAAGCATTCGCAGCAATCTTCAGCCAACGGTGCTGAATGGATAATCCATCTCAGCTCCTCCAGGAGTCCCCAGCATTACAGACACCAATCTTCAGCCGATTCAAATCATTTCACATGATGTCAGGAAATGGTTGGAGGCACTGGATACTGCAAAGACTATGGGCCCTGACAACATTCTAGCAACAGTATTGAAGGTTTGTACTCTAGAATTTTCCATACCCATAGCCAAGCTGTTACAGCTACAACACTGGCATCTACCCAACAGTGTGGAAAATTGCCCAGGTATGTCCAGGACAAAAAGCAGAACAAATCCAACCTGGCCAATTACCACCCTATCAGTCTACTCTTGATCATCAGTGTTATCAACAGTGCCATCAAGCATCACTTGCTCAGCAATAACCTGCTCAGTGACGCCCAGTTTGGGTTCCGCCAGGGTCAATCAGCTCCTGATCTCATTCCAGCCTTGGTTCAAACATAGACAAAAGAGCTGAATTCCAGAGGTGAGTTGAGAGTGACAGCTCTTAACATCAAGGCCACATTCGATCGAGTGTGGCATCAGGAAGCCCCAGCAAAACTGAAATCAATGGGTATCAGGGGGCAAACTCTCTGGTAGTTGGAGTCATACCTGACACATTGGAAGATGGTCCTGTTCATTGGATGTCAGTCATCTCAGTTCCAGGACATCTCTGCAGGAGCTCCTCAGGGTAGTGTCCTAGGCCCAACCATCTTCAGCTGCTTCATCAATGACCTTCCCTCCATCATAAGGTCAGAATTGGGGATGTTCGCTGATGATTGCACGATGTTCAGCACCATTCGTGACTCCTCAGATACTGAAGCAGTCCATGTTCAAATGCAACAAGATCTGGACTATATTTGAGCTGACAAGTGGCAAGTGACATTCGCACCACATAAGTACCTGGCAGAGACTATCACCAACAAGAGAGAATCTAACCACCACCCATTGGTATTTAATGCCATGACCATCACTGAATCCCAGACTGTCAACATCCTGGAGGTTACCATTGACCAGAAACTGAACTGCGTGCCGCACAAGCTAACAATGAGGACACTTGCAGTTGAATCTCAAACAACTTTAAGTTGGATTGATCGATATTGCAAGTGGCCGGGACATCACAGGGTTCAATGGATTTCTCGACCACAAATGTTCAGCAAGTTATCATGAATTGTATGATAAATTCAACAGAAAGAAATTCTGTAACAGAACAATTATCTTTCAGAAGACTGTCATTTGATATATAAAGGATGGCTTTGATAATAGTCGCGTATCAAAATGATAAACTGTACTATTGGACCACAATTCATATTTTCTGTTGTCCCTTACGGATGCAAGGTTGCTCATTGAGAACAATATTTTTACAGACAACAAGAAATGTTACTTGCACAGCTGAAG